TGTGAAAAGTGTTTTGTAATTGTGTTCATAGGGTTCCTGGGTTTGTTTCAGGAGGTAGACTCCTAAATATTTTATAATGTCTACAGTAAGTTTAAATGGAATTTCTCTTTCTATCTCTTGCTGTTGGGCTTTGTTGGTAATAAATATATAGAATGCCAATGATTTATGTGGGTTTATTTTATAGCCTGCAACTTTGCTAAAGTTGTTTATTATTTCAAGTAGTTTTTTACTTGATTCTCTAGGATTCTCTAAGTATATCATCATGTCATCTGCAAAGAGTGATAGCTTTGTTTCTTCTTTGCCTATTTCTAAGACCTTCAATTTCTTTTTCTTCTCTTATTGCTAAGGCAAAGTTTCCAGTACAATATTGAATAACAGTGGTGATAATGGATATCCTTGTTTCACCCCTGATCTTCTTGGAAATGTTTCTAGCCTGTCCCCATTACATATAATGCTTGCTGAAGGTTTTAGATATGCTATTTATTATTTTAAGGAAGACTCCATTTATACCTATGGTTTCTAGTGTTTTTAATAAGAATGGGTGTTGTATTTTGTCAAAAGCTTTTTCTGCATCTACTGAAATGAACATGTGGTTTCTGTTGGTTTTAGTGTTGATATGCTCAACTATGCTGATAGTTTTCCTAATACTGAACCAGCCCTGCATTCCTGGTATAACTCCTACCTGGTCATAGTGTATTATTCTTGTGATAAGTTGCTGCAATCTATTTGCTAGTATTTTGTTTAAAATTTTTGCATCTATATTCATTAGAGAAATTGGTCTATAATTTTCTTTCTCTATTTTGACTCTTCCTGGTTTAGGTATCAACACCATATTTGTATCATAAAAAGAATTTGGTAAGACTCCTTCTTCACCTATTTTCCCAAATAGTCTATATAGTATTGGAATTAATTGTTCTTTAAATGTTTGATAGAATTGCATGTAAATCCATCTGGCCCTGGAGATTTTTTCCTAGGGAGTTCATCAATGGCTTGTTCAATTTATTTTTCTGAGATGGGGTTATTTAAGTATTTTACTTCTCTCTTCGTTAATCTGGGCAATTTATATTTTTGTAAATATGTATCCATTTCCCTAAGACTGTCAAATTTGTTGGCATATAGTTGGGCAAAATAATTCCTAATTATTGTTTTAATTTCCTCTTCCTTGGTGGTAGCTTCACCCTTTTCATTCTTGATACTAGTAATTTGGTTTTCTTCTTTTTTTTTTAATTAAATTAACCAAAGGTTTATCTATTTTATTGGTTTTTTCATAAAACCAGCTCTTAGTTTTATTTATTAGTTCAATAGTTTTCTTAATTTCAATTTTATTAATTTTTCCTTTGGTTTTCAATATTTCTAATTTGGTGTTTAGTTGAGGATTTTTAATTTGTTCTTTTTCTAGTTTTTTTAGTTGTATGCCCAATTCATTAATCTCCTCTTTTTCTATTTTATTTATGTAAGCATTTAGAGATATAAAACTTCCCCTAAGAACTGCTTTGCTGCATCCCAAGTTTTGGTATGTTGTCTCATTATTGTCATTCTCTTGAATGAAATTATTGATTGTTTCTATGATTTGTTGTTTGACCCAATCATTTTTTAGGATTAGATTATTTAGTTTCCAATTATTTTTTAGTCTATCTTTCCATGGCCCTTTATTACATATAATTTTTATTGCATCATGATCTGAAAAGGATGCATTTAATATTTCTGCCTTTCTGCATTGGATTGTGAGGTTTTTATGCCCTAGTACATGGTCAATTTTTGTGTATGTGCCATGTACTGAGAAAAAAGTATATTCCTTTCTATCCCCATTCAGTTTTCTCCAGAGGTCTATCATACCTAACTTTTCTAATGTTCTATTCACCTCCTTAACTTCTTTCTTGTTTATTTTGTGGTTAGACTTATCTAGTCAGAGAGGGGGAGGTTCAGGTCCCCACTAGTATAGTTTTGCTGTCTATTTCTTCCTGTAACTCCCTGAACTTCTCCTGTAAGAATTTGGATGCTATACCATTTGGTGCATATATTTAGTAATGATATTACTTCATTGTCTATGGTGCCTTTTAGCAGGATGTAGTTTCCTTCCTTATCTCTTTTGATTAGATCTATTTTTGCTTTTGCTTTGTCTGAGATCAGGATTGCTACCCCTGCTTTTTTTACTTCAGCTGAGCATAATATATTCTGCTCCAGCCTTTTACCTTTACCCTGTATGTGTCACTCTTTTTCAAATGTGTTTCCTGTAAACAACATATTGTAGGATTATGGTTTTTAATCCATTCTGCTATCCATTTTCATTTTATGGGAGAGTTCATCCCATTCACATTCACAGTTATGATTACTATCTGTGTCTTTTTCTCCATCCTTTTCCCCCCATTTATGCTTTTTTTCTCCTTTTTCCCCCCCTTCACTAGTGTTTTGCTTTTGACCATGCCTCCTTCAGTCCCTCCCCCTTTATTATCCCTTTCCCTTTTCTTCCCCTTTAGTCTTACTGCTTCTCCCTCCCTTCTCCCCCCTCCCTTTTCTTTCCCCTTTTCCCTCCTACTTCCTATAGGGCAAGTTAGATTTCTATACCTAACTGATTATGTTATTCCCTTCTTGAGCCAAATCTGATGAGAGTAAGGTTCAAACAACGCTCACCCCCTCCCTTCTTTCCCTCTGCTGCAATAGGTTTTTGTGTCTTTTCCTGTAATGTAATTTACCCTTGTCTACCTCCGCCTTTCTCAGTACATTTTCTAGATCAGATTGATCCACTTTGGATCCATTTAACCCACTTGATTAGATTTTTTTTTTTTATCATTCCATTGAAGTCAACTTATATCCACCCCATTTGGGGTTTTCTTAGCAAAGATATTGGAGTAGTTTGCCATTTCCTTTTCAGCTCATTTTACAGATGAAGAATTAAGGCAAACAGGTTTAAGTGACTTGCCCAGGGTCACATAGCTAGGAAGTATCTGAAGCCTGATTTGAACTCAGGAAAATGAGTCTTCCTGACTTCAGGCCCAGCACTCAATCCACTGCGCAACCTAGCCACCCACTCTGTCAAGTAACTACACCTTTGTTATTTACCTTCTCCATAACCATAACATCTAGTGCGGTGAATTTACACGTAAGTTCCCTATGTGTGTCAAATGAATGAATACATGTATAAATACAGAAATACAAGGTTAAGAGTTGAAAGATACCTAACTACTAACCTTCCAATGACGAGTTAGCAAGTAAAAAGGATTGCTAGGTGGCTCAGTAGATATAGCTCTGGCCTTGGAGTCAGGAGGACCTGAGTTCTAATCTGGCCTCAGGCACTTGACACTAGCTGTGTGACCCTAGGCCAGTCACTTAACCCTGACTGCCTCACCAAAAAGCAAAAGAAAACAAACAAAGAAAAGGATTATTATGGGCCTGTGGGGGCAGGAATTATGTATATATAGACACCACCACCATTCCTTTCCTTTCAAGAGCTTGTGTATTTTTGTGACTGGTTTCAAAGTTTAGACAATTTTGTTTAGGTGTTTAGGATGATGAAAACAAGAAGGGAGGGAAGAAATAAGTATTTTTATAGCATCAACTCCGTGCCAAGCACTGTGCTAAGTGCTTTTTTTTTTTTTACAAATATTAGCTTACAAAGAAGAATGTGAGGCAGGCATTATTATGCTCATTTTAGAGTGGAAGAAACAGGCAAACAGAGGTTATGTGACTTGCCCATATTAATTCAGCTGATGTGTCTGAGGCCATAGTTGAACTCAGGTCTTCCTGATTCCATATCTAGTATCCAATGCCCTAGACCACACCGGCTCACTAAATGATGATATATGGAACAGACTGCAGGAAGCAAATATTGCAGTAGATCATTATTCGCAAGGCTTCCTCGGAAGCAGAGGAACAGTCCATTGTTTCCACGGACTATTCACGAACTTTCCCTCCTCCACTACTAGAATTTTTCTTCCTACTTGCCTATCTCCGCGGAATGAAATGACCAATGACCTACTGTAGAGTTAGGATCGGGCACGGAAGGGGGCCAGCAACTGCTGAGAGGGTTGAGAAGCCAATTTTGATACTAGGTCCTATGGCTTTAGAAAGCTTTTGATACAGCTCAGATATTAGTGGATTCTATTTCTTTAGCTCCATATAAGTTTGGAAACAAAGACTTTGGTACTTGACATAACCAGGAGTGAGTTCTAAATAATGGTCTGCCAGTTAATTTCATTGTATCCAACAAAGATAATTGGACCTCATTCTTAACAAATGGCTAACTTTTCTGAATTGTGACTAAGTAGACCACATTCATCTTTTGTTTCCTTCCCTGTATTTTTTCACTTAAACATAATTCTTCAGGCTCAGTAAGCACTGTCTCTATAGAAATTTAGGCTATAACAATCTAGTCCCTTCTTATTGGGCCCAAATGCTGTTTTGTAAACGGAAAGGATATCAGAAAATCTGATGTTTTTAACTGGGATGTTCCTTCAAGAGAAAATTTAATTGATCTGACAATACCAAGAGATCTCAAGATATTGCCTACCTAACTTATCTCAGATATTTCTCTAGTATTACCAGTTCCTGTGGGCTCACTACTTAAACTTGGGCAAGGTAAATCCTTCGAGATTTTGTGTTTGTTGTTTTTTAATTTTTTTTTTTCCTCTCTGAGTTTCTCCATCTATAAACTGGATTAGATGATCCTGGCCAATCTCAGTCAAGTTCATGAAAGTAATGTTCGAAGAAGAGGAAAAAAAAAGGACCAAAAACTTGTAGATGTTCAGTTCCATAAGTTTTTTCCAATGTATGTTGTCTAGGTTCAACCAAAAAGGAATGTTTGTTTTAGACATATATACTTTGGATTTTACAATTCCAAGCCTCATCCCAGCCACTTACATCAGAACAGAAAAAATTTGGAAGGCAGTAATTGTGTAACACATAAATCTCCTCTGGACTCAAGCCCATAGGCTGTGGTTTGGCAAGACATCCAGCATAACATCTCTTCTCTCATCTCCTGGAAAAAAAAAAAAGACGGCAAAAAATTACCTTGAAAATTAAGGTAATGATTAATCCATCAGGCTCAAAAGGAATTAGTTTTGAGAACTGAGGTTCCAATTTGTGAACATAAACAAACAGCTGAAAATAGGGGATGAAAACCTCACCAGATGAAGTATTAGGTCACAGCGAGTTGGTGGGTCCATGTTTGTACAGTAGGAGAATTCTGTCGGCTGTCTCTGTGAATCTGTAAGCAGATGTCAAAATCTCCAGGTTCCATGTGTCAGTGAAGTCATAAGTCCAACTGCTGCAAGGATCATCCATTCTAACCTTAACTGAGGAGTATTAACTGAACTGAAGAGTGTCACCAGAACTCTGACTGACAAGCATTACCTACTCTTTCCAGGATTTGTGGCTGCATGATTCAGGCTATGGACAGAAAGACCGAAAAAACCTTCAAAGAGAAAATCATCCTGAAGAACTCATTGGCCAAAGAAGTGATTGGAGAATTCCTGGGGACATTCACATTGGTTGTAAGTGTAATCTGATTTCCTTTTATTTTCTAGCTCAAGAATGCTTCTGATCTGTATGTTTCTTTTTTTCTTCCCCTTTGGCTAGAACATAGCCATATCTCTTTCATATTGCTATAAGAAAACATCATATCATGGCTCTCCAATTATTATTTATTAACCTATATTTTCAGTGCAAAGTACTGTATTTTATGAACACAGACTGATAGGAAAGTTTTAGTGCCTTGTTAATTAATAATGATAATAACAATAATCATTTCTACATCATTTCAATGTTTGCCCAGGGCTTTAAATATATTATTTCATTTGATCTCCACATGAATGATTTAACTAGGATGTTCTAAACTGGCCTCTGTAGTAAAAAGCAGCCACTTGAAATAGTTATGGATAATCAATAAACACATGTCTTCCAATATCTGTGATATCCTATCAGAGCTAAGCAAAGCCTCAGCAACAATCGTATTTGACAGATCAATGGCTGGATAATGAAAGTACAATGCGTTAAGCAGAACTAGAACAGGATACTAGACATTGTGTTCAGGTAACTCCTTTCCTTTCAATCACTAAAGTCTTTTTTTTTTCCTTCTTCTTCTTTTGGACTTGGGCTCTCTTACCTAAGAATTACTAATTCAATGGTTCCCTGCATCTTCTAGCCATACCTGAGATCAATTTCTAAGAATCCTCAGGTTATTAATCTGAATAATTTCTTAACCTTAAGGGGCCTGAGTGAATATTGAAGGAATGTTCTGAAAATTCATCACCTTCTGAAAAAAATAGCCTTGATGTAGGGTTTTTAACGGCAAGTATAAACAAACCCTAGTTCTTATTCAAAAGAAATATATTGGAGATATTTAACTTCTTTTAGGCTTTGAAAGAGCCTTCTGTGACATCTGTATGTTATCCTTTGACATCAACTCCATTTTATTTTATTTAAATTCCATTGAGTGTCTACTGTGTGTAGCATGCTGGAAACTTTTTTTTTTAGTTAGTATGTCAGATAAACCAATCATGAAAATGTTGAACTAGGGAAAAAAATAAATTGAACAAAGTAATAACATCATAGATTCAGAGCTGGAATGGAATCTTTAGAGATTGTCTTGTCCAACCCCCTAGTTATACAAAGTGGGTCTAGAGATGGGAAGTGACTGTTCTCAGGTGGGGAGACCTTTGGAGTGCCTTCTGGGCTCCAAAATACTCTGTGGTACTCTTTTTGCTAAAACAGCCCAAGCATGGAGCTTTGGTGCTCATTTCCTAGGTTATGTCCCGAATGTCCTCCCCTGTAGCTACGAAAATCCATTCTCTCCAAACTTGAGGGGGGTGGGAAGTGGGGTCACTGGTAAGAGTCAGGGTAACCAATTACCCACATTCTTGGTACCAGATTTATTTCCTGGAGTATGATACATTGTAAGGTGGGAATGGTTGTATTGTTTTATTTTCTAAGTCTTTGGGTGACCAGAGCATAAAACTGCATTTTTAGAAGCTAGTTCTAGTACCAGGGAAAATTGAAGGGCAGATAATTGAAACAAAGTGGTTTAAGAGTATGGGGTATTCTGCAGAAAAGGAAAAAAGAAAGGGAAGTTATGAATAGGGAGAGCCAGAAGACAAGATGCCTCCATTTCTCAATGGGAATGTATTTCGTAATCCTGACCCCTTTAGGGTTCAAGATTTGAAAGCTACTATAAATATGGATTTGCTCAGCAAAGCTATCCAGTGCACTGTTCTGCTCCTAACCACATATAATAGGTGCTCAATACATGGCCGGCCTTTTGCTTATTTATTTGACAGTATGTGGTAACAAATTTTCAGAGTTAAAGGCAAGTGGCAGAGAGAAGTGGAGTGGTTTATTTGGCCTCAGAGCCAGGAAGACTTGGATTCAGATCCTGCTTCCTTGACCCAATTGGCTTTCTGACCCTAGACAAGTCACTTAATTTCTCAGTGGCCCCTAGGCAACAGTCTAAGACTTTTAAGTTATAAAGAGGATGTAGACCTGCATTGATTGAGCAAGTTCCCCATCTAGAGGTTCTCCCATCCAAGAAATCACAGGCCTAATTCCTATCTTTATCATTAGAATTAAACCCCCCCCCAGATGCCTTGATTTCTCCATATACTGTTTATTAGTTACCAAAAGGCTGAGGATCTCTTAAAAAGAAAGGCAGAGGTTTGGGAGTAAATTTAGAAGCTTCTCCACTGACACCATCTTCTATGTTAAGAGATGCAAATCATGTCAATTTTTCATTGATGAGAACAAAAATTCTTGCATGCAGTGATTTTCTTAAAAGCTATTTGAACTCTAAATGGATAGGCATAAGGATTGGACCTGTGATTTCACTGATATAGGAAATTCCTAGCTGAGTTGATTCCCTCTATCAGTGCAGGTTGGCACCTTCTCAGAAAGCACTGAGAGGTGGAGAGAATTGGCCAGGGTCTCACACATCCACTATATATGAGACTTTAAAAAAGGAGGGGAAGCAGAACTGGCCATAAAGCAAAGCTGTGAAGAGGATTGTCACCTATTGGGATACCAATCCTCCTGTTTCCCCTCTCTTTATAACCTGCCTCTGACTCTTGGTGGTTTAGTTAGGTCCTGCTCCCACCAAAAAAAAATTGATAAAGTTATTCACAATAAGGTATAAGTGGCAGAGATTTAATGTTTTTTTTTCAGAACCTAGTAGGGATTACTTTAACATGGAACAAAAAAGCCTCATCAAAGGAAATGATTCTCTAACTTTGGGATTTCACACATCAAAGAACCCAGCAGAAGGGAAACTTTTGCATAGGAGTCATTCAAAACCATACCTCACAGGGCTTATTCTACTCCTGGGCAAAATCAATCCAGAAGGGAAGTTTCAGTTTCCTTAATGCATCTGCTTCTAGAGAGAAGAGAAGATATTTAGAATCATAGATTCCTAGGAAAGGATATTTGAAGTTATCTAGTCCAATGTAAGGAGCAGGTAGGTGGTACAGATAGGATAGGGTGGTGGGCATGGAGTAAGGAAGATTCATCTTCCTAAATTCAAATCTGGCCTCAAACACTTACTAGCTAGTAAGCGTAATCCTGGGCTAGTCACTTAACTGTTTGCCTCAGTTTCCTCATCTGGAAAATGAGCTAGAGAAGGAAATGACAAACCACTCCAGTATGTGCCAAGAAAACGACAAATGGGAGTTTTGACCAAACCAAATGGGTTTGACCAAATGGAGTCATGAAGAGTTGACTGAACAACAATAAGTCCAACTTACCCTCCCAATATGAAAATCCTTTCTATACTATCTTTAACAGGCTGACCCAGGCTTTACATGAATATTTCTGACAATGGGAAACTCATTGCTTCGTAAGTTAGTACATTCTATTGTTGGACCACTCCAACTGTTATGAAGTACATCCTTATGTATAACTCTATATCTGCCTCCCTGTAACTTCCATCCATTGGTTCTGGTTTTGTTCTCTAGAGGAATACAGTTTACTCTTTCTTCTACATGACAAACTTTCAAATATTGAGAAAATTTGTCATGTCTCCTTTTTGTCCCCTTTATCCAGCTCTCAAGTTTCTTCAACTATTTTTCAAATGAGATTATTTCAAGACCCTTCACCCTTCTGGTTTTCCATTATTTCTTCCACATTTACATTCTCAGTTTTGTCTCCCAGATGAAATGGTCTTAACTGCAGTTATATTCCCCATTATGTGAAAGATCACCACAAACAGAATGGCATGCTGCCATGACAAGCTTTACAAGTAGGTGATGGTCTATTGGTAGATGTGGGACTTTAATATTTCCCCATTAAAATCAAACACCCCTAGGATGGATACCACCTTAAGTCTGTATCAACCACTGATATCTTGTGGGGGAGGCCCTTGGAGCAGCTTTTTAACTAGGACAGCTTGTTCTCAGAGAGAACAGGCCCCTGGGGGTAATGGGACAGGAATAGGGGTAAGTAGGAGGCCCACAGGAAAAGGGAAAAGACACCTGCACTGCAAAGTGGGAGCATGCCCAAGACAAATTGTACCTATAATAATTTTGCCTGAGGCTGGTTAGGCATCCCTCCACTGAGCTAGTAATCTCCGCTTGATAGGGAGGAGAGTTGTTTGTCATAGGCTGGTCAGTTGTGTCTGGACTCAGAACATCATCAGATTTTTATGTTATTATCAGAATATATGTTCAAACCCACATAGGGGTTGGGGGGCACATGTGGTAGGGGGGAAGAGGAATTCTGATCCAAGTCTAAGAACTTTGGAAATCAAATTATATATTGTCAGAACTGAGATTTAAATAGAAAATACCCTTGTTATGGATTGAATTAATTAAAAGAAATTCATTTAATAGGAAATTATTTAGAACCACTTCTAGTTTAAGATCCTAATGTGGAGCCCATAAGTCCTAAAAGGTAGGAAAGCTACAAGTATTAGGGGTCTTTGTTCTTTATAGAAAAACTGAAGTATTCAAAGGTATAATCATATGCCTACTGAGTTAGTAGTAGAACCTACTACTCATTCCACAGACTAGGACACTGGAGACCTTGAGCTATAAAAAGGTAGGCCCAAGTCACAGAGGTAGTAAATAAAAGACATGGGATTATCTGACATTCTTCCTACTCATGAAAGGGTATTGCCTTCCAATTTTTACCCATAATCCTTAGTCTTTCTATTCCCTTTACCCCAAAGAAGCAGGTAGGTGGTTTCATAGTGTACAGAGTGCTGGGCCTAGAGTCCAGAAAACCTGAGTTCAAGTGTGGCCTCAGAAACTTATTAGCTGTATGACCCTGGACAACTCTATTAACCGTTGTCAACTCTAAAATGGGGATAATAGTGCCTACCTCTCAGGACTGAACTGAGAATTGAATAAGAGCACAGTACCTGGTATAAATGCTGTTTCCTTTCTTCAAAAAGCTGAAAGTACTTGTAACTTCTATGATTTCATATATCTTCCTAGCAAGGGGCTAGCAAGGGGCTAGAGGTCAAAAAAAGTGATCAGTCCCATTTTGCAGATGGAGAAACTGAGTCATAAAA